TCTGTCTCCCAGCCAGTCCTGGATCCATGCTGCCACTGTCCCTTTTATACCATGGGCTTCTATCTTTCTTACAAGTCTTTCATGTGGCACTTTGTCAAATGCCTTTTGAAAGTCCATATAAACTATATCTACTGCACTACCTTCATCCACCCTCTCCATTACCTCATCGCAAAATTCTATTAGATTTGTTAGACGAGATTTGCCTTTAACAAATCCGTGCTGGCTGTCCTAATTAATCCATATTCTTCAAAGTGAAGATTTATTCTGTCCCGAATTATAGTCTCCAGGAGTTTCCCCACTACTGATGTTAAGCTGACTGGCCTGCAGTTCCCAGGTTTGTCCTTCTGCCCCTTTTAGTACAGGGGAGTAACATTAGCCACTCTCCAGTCCTCTGGCATCACCCCTGTGTCCAACAAAGATTGAAAAATTGTAGCCAAAGCCTCTGCTATTTGTACCCGTGCCTCCCATAGTATCCTTCATCAACGATCTCATCCTTGATGAGAGCGTTGATATCATGTCAGCGCCTTGGGACGTCCTCCTGACGTGAAAGGCGCTTTATAAATGGAATCTTGTTGTTGTTGTTGTTGTTGTTGTTCGCTGCATCCCGTCCGGACCGGGCGACTTATCTACCTTGAGCCCAGTCAACCTTTTCAGTACTTCCTCTCTGTTTATACTTATCCTGTCCATTTCCTCTACCCTCTGCTCCGATACCACAGCATTTATCACATCCACTTCTTTTGTAGAGACAGATGCTAAGTACTCATGCAGTACATCAGCCATGCCCTCTGCCTCCACAATAAGATTTCCGCCTTGGTCCTTAATTGGCCCCACCCAACTTTGACTAACTTTTTTCTTGATATGTTTGTAAAAAAAATTTAGGATTCCCTTTAATGTTACCCGATAACCTTTTTTCGTATAATCTTTTTGCCCCTTATTTCCTTTTTCAGTTCTCTTCTGTACTTCCCATACTCTATTTGGTTATCTTCTGTATCTTGGGTTTGACATTTGTCATACGCCTTCTTGTTCTGCTTCATTCTAGACACGATTATCTGGCTGCCTATCCCAGAGAGGATCAATTTCAAGATCCTTACCCTTGTATTCAAATCCCTCCACTCTCTGCAACCCCCTACCTCTCTGACCTGCTCTCTCCTCAAAACAGTACCCGTTGCCTTCGTTCCTCGGGGTCTAGCCTCCTCCTCGTCCTCCTCGTCCACCGCTCCACCGTCGGCGGCCGTGCCTTCAGCCACTATGTCCCGAGGCTCTGGAATTCCCTTCCTCACTCTCTTCGCCTCGCCCCCTCTCTTCCTACTTTTAGGTCTCTACTGAAGACCTTTCTTTTCGACCGCGCCTTTGGTCACCTCCCTCCTCCTCCCTCTGGCTTGGCCCCAGGATTCGTTACTGTGAAGCACTCTGAGGCGCTGTCTGGCGTGGAGGGCCTTATATAAATCCAAGCTGTTGTTGTTGGCTAGATCCCTTTTCAACCAAAATTAGCCCTCTATCTTCACCTTTGATGGTTCCTTGTCCTTTTCCATATGCACTCTGAATCTAATGACGTTATGATTACTGTTGCCCAGATGCTCTCCCACTGAAACCTGCTCCACTTGCCCTACTTCATTCCCCAGAACTAGACCCAGCACTGCTTCCTTCCTTGTTGGACTGGGAATGTACTGATCAAGAAAGTTGTGCTGTATGCATTTTAGGAATCTTTCCCCCTCCTTGCCCTTTGCGCTGTTGTTTTGCCAGTCTATGTTGGGATAATTAAAGTCCCCCATTATCATGACTCTATTGGCCTTGCATCTATCTGAGATCTGCTTGCAGATCTGCTCATCTATTTCCTTCCCACTATTTGGTGGTCTATAGTATACCCCTACTAGCATAACAGCTCCTTTTTTGTTCCTTAACTCTAACCAGATAGATTCTGTTTTTGGGCCCTCCAGCACCTCGACCCTTTCCACGGCTATAACCGTATCCTTGATTAAAATTGCCACACCCCCTCCTTTTTTTCCTTCCCTATCCCTCCTGAATACATTATAGCCAGGAATATTCAGCTCCCCTTCCTTTCCTTCTTTGAGCCAAGTCTCTGTTACTGTTACTACATCGTATTGCCCTACGGCCACTTAGAGCCTGCAGCTCACCAATCTTGTTTGCTAAACTCCGTGCATTTAGGCACATGCACTCCAAGTCCGACTTGACCTGTTCTGCAGCTCCCCCCAGTTTTATTTCTCCATTTTCTACCTTTGTTTTTTGTTCTTTGTTTTTTGCATTCCCTTCCCCCCCTCAAAACTAGTTTAAACCCTCCCCTACAGCATTAGTTAGCCTGTCTGCAAAGACATTCGCCCCAGCCCTGTTTAGGTGTAACCCATCCATATGGTACAGGTCCCACCTGCCCCAGAACTGGTCCCAATGATCCAGAAACCTGAAGCCCTCTTTTCTGGACCATATCTCCAGCCAAGCATTCACATGCTTGATCCTGCCATCATGGTACTTATTTGCCCGAGGCACAGGGAGTAATCCAGAGATCACCACCTTGGATGTTCTATTCTTTAGCTTGTTCCCCAGCTTTTGATATTCACCCTGTAGCATCTCAGCCCTTTTTATTTACCAATATCATGGATCCCAACCTGGATCACCACTTCTGGATGTTCCCCTTCCCCCTGAAGAATTTTATCCACCCATTCCGTGATGTCCAAGACCGTTGCACCAGGCAGGCAACATACCATCCTTGACTTCCGTCTTCTCTTGCAGAAACGTCTGTCTATACCTCTCACTGTTGTATCCACTATGACAACAGCATTGCTCCTGTTACCTGTGTCCCCCTGTTCAACAAATTGGTTTTTACTGTCTTCCCAGTAGATATCAACACTCTCAATGTTCAGTATAGAGTACCGGTTTGAGAGCGCTACACTATTGGGGGCATTCTGCCCTGCCCGTCCCTTCTTCCTATCATGCCGGATAGTCACCCAGTTATTTTCTATCTGAACCCTTGGTGGCTGTGGGGTGACCACCTCCTGAGTGTCTGGTCCATCACATCCTTACATCCGTTGTACAAGCTTGTAGCTTGTAGGCTCCATCACCATTCTCTCAGGGGTCCCATTGTCTGCGGGACTGATAAAACTATCCTGTCCCTGAGCATTAACCAGATGCAAGCATCTTCCGAGCCTCAGGGGAGGAATGGTTTCCTCCATCATACTGTCCAGGAACCTCTCACTGTCCCTGATGGAGCGCAGTGTCTGCACCTCGGCTTCCAGCTCAGCTACTCTCAACTGGCGCTTCTTAAGTTGCAGACACTTACTGCAGATGAAGTTGCCCAGGCTCAGAGCTCCCTCCAATAACTCCCACATGTCACAGCCCTCGCTTTTCACTTGCCACATGATCTTCTGACACAGTGTTTTCAATATTTTTTTTAATTTTTGTTTTTTATTTTTATTTGTCGTCAGTGTTGTAGTTTCCGACAGTTCCTTGTTTGTCTCTGCGCTGGTTCTGCTGTTGAAAATGATGTCACACCAACATCACTTTATTTTTCGTAGCTCCGACAGTTCCCAGCTTACCTCAGCCGTTCCTTTTATGCTGCTCACTAGGCATAGTCTCTGCCTCCGCTCTGTCCTGACTCCTCTCCCCGAATGAGATAGACCCAAATTATATCCCGAAGTGTGTTGTACATTTCAGATGCTGCCATTAAAGAAGCTTAAATATAGTTAATGCTGAAAAGATGCAGGTTTTATATGGTTTGATCTCCTGTTGCACAGGATTCACATCTTGGATACAGATTGTAAGCACTCTGGGACTCTACCCTGCACGAGGGGCGCTATATAAATGCAAATTGTTGCTATGCACTTTCCTGCATGGCTTACTTTAGGATACACCAAGATAGTGGAGCAAAAGGTCATAGCTTTACAGTTGCAAAGAGCAATTTCAGGTCAGAGACTGGAAGTATTTTGTTACCCATAGGATAATTAACGACTACAGCAGTTGTCAGGGTAGTAGCTGAGGCCAGGATCCTGGACTCAGTTGAATAAAAAAGTTTTATGGCTATGATGGGAGGATGATAGGGAAGGTGTTCTGGAGGGATGAGATTAGCTTTACTTACAACTACTCAAATGCCTTCCTCACCGGCCTCCCCAGCTGCAGTATTCACAAAATCCAGTTAATACAAAACTCCACATTCCCCATAATCACCAGCACCAGATTCCATACCCCCATCACACCAATGCTAGCCAGATTCCACTTGTTCCCTATCACCGAACAGATCGATTTCAAGATCCTCACACTCGTCTTCAAATCCCTTCATACCCTGGCACCTCCCTACCTCTCTGACCTCCTTACTCCCCAACCCACTACCCTCTGCCTCTGCACAACTGGCTCCAGCTTCCTGCCTGTCCTTCAGCCCTACTGTTCCATCTTCGGTGGCCACACTTTCAACCACTGCGCCCCAAAACCTTTCCTCTATCCCTCCATCTTGCCCCTTCCTTCCCCATCTTCAGGTGGCACTTGAAGAGCTTCCTTGTCAACCGTGCCTACAGTCACCTCCTCCCTCTCCCTGGCACGGAGTAGTGCTCCGCCACTGTCAAGTGATCTGGGACACTACCCTGCATGAGGGGCACTATATAAATGCAAGTTGTTGTAGTTGAGCCTAAGGGACTTCTTTGTTCCAAACTCATCTTGTGATTTTATGTTTGAACAGTGGAAAAGATAGCTGGGCTATCTGGATGGCTGGGCAGAAAGTGAAAGAATAGCTGTTTCTGGGTTTCTTAAAAATTGAAAATGAAAACAAATTCACCATACAAACCTAGTGAAACAACTGACAGAGTTACCAAAACGTGATTAAATGAAAGAGATTGGATCCTTCAGTGTTGATGAGAGAAGCCTGTAAAATCTCAGTCAGGATTTTTGTTTGCAACAGTGACATTTTGAAGAGGCTAATGGAGTATGAAACCTATGAATTCAACTGGTTGAAACACAATAAAACACTTCTCAGAATTGGGTTTTGTATCTTCAAACAGGCTGCAGTGCTGTACCAAATGAGAATAATTTCAAATGAACTGACTCCCGCAGGCAAATGTGACAGCCAAATTGCACCAGAAATATCCCACTAGCAACAGAGAGGTGAGTAGCCAATTAATGTCTGTGAGAAGCCACATCACCTTGACCTCTAAAAGACCTTCGATAAAGTACCCCACGAGAGATGTCTTTAAAAATTGAGGCCTCACGTGAGACCTGTGTATTAATTAATGCAGGATGACCTTGTTGGAACAAATCCCGGTTGAGCATGAGTTTGCTTATGCAGTGAAAACCGTGGATGTCTGATCTGTATAAATCATATAATCGTCTAAGTTGTACATCTGCCAAGGTCCATTTGAATTTCCTGTTAAACCCACTTAAATTTATCTGCACTATTCGTATTAACAATCGCGCAAATCGTACTGCATTTGCCACTAACGAATTACAGGCCGGTCAAAACTTTGTTTCCCGCGTCTACCTCAAACAGAACACCGTAGATGCACACTTCTTCACTCTCTGCCCTTCGCTCTCACTCCTGGAGGCGTAACATCAGCGTCATCATGCACGGCAGCGAGGCAGGTGTGTGTGGGTTGGGGGTTGACAGAGGAAAGAACATTGCCTGACCACATGGTGAGTGAGGGGGCAGGGAATGATTTCCTGTGCACTGTGCATGTGTGCCTCTAATGTCACTTCCTTTATTTTGTATACATTAGCTACAGGGATTTGCACACTCAGTGTAAGGTAGTTCCATTCATAGACCAAGCAAAGTTAGAGGGAACTGTAATCAAGGAATCAGAAGGTCTTAAAAAAAATTCCTAAGCAAATGAAATGATATGCCAATACTGTGGATGAATGCAAAGTACTGTATCTAGGAAGTAAAAATAGAAGACTTGCATAATAATAATAACCTTTGCCCACAAAATATACAGTCAATTTGCTATACAATGTAGTCTGCGAAGTGCTTTGAGACGTCTCGTAGATGTGATAAATCAAGGATCAAATGCAAGGATTATTATTAGGCTAAATCAGTTTCCCAGAAGTGAAGCTGTACAATGCTTTGCTCAGTCTATACCTGAAGTACTGCTTACAATTCTGGCCATTGCTACATAACAAAGCTGTCTAGTTTCTGTAGATATAATAGAAGAAAACAATGATCCCCTCTGTTAATAGGATGAGCTGTGAGAAATGATTAGATTCACTTTTCGAAAGAGGGGATCTTTATAAGGAAATATAAGATCCTTGATGGACTGAGGGAGTGATTGAGAAAGTAAAGCAAGAACAATACTTTCAGCTATGTGAAAGCAGGAGGACAAGAGGACGCAGGTTTAGGCACAGGGAGGGTGGTTGGGGCGAAGAAACTGGACTCACTTAAGAAGCAGATTATTAATAATAATAATCCTTATCGCGTCGTCGAGAAGTCTCAAAGCACATCACAGGATATACTGTAAAGTAGATTGACTGTGTATTGTGTGGGATTGCACACAGCAATGTCCCACAAGCAGAATGGAGTGAGCGACCAGTTTATTTGGTGGATTGTTGGCCAGGACACTGGGAGAAACTCCCTGCTCTTTTCGAATAGAGCCATGGGCACTTATCATTGTTGCTGTACTGGAAGGGTGGGTATACTAACGGGATGAGATCAAATATGCCGAATGCCCTTCTTCACCCCAGGCAGTCGAACGGTCGGGCGATCGAGTGATCTGAACCTTCGGGGGTGAATTAGGATGAGCTGGGGACATTAGTCAAGATAACCAGGAGGTAAACACCCTAGACTTTTTTTTTGAGATTGTCATCTTATGGCGTGTCAAGATTATACTGTTGTAATGCTTTAAAATCACCATTTGAAATAGTCATAGCTGGAATCATAGTCTGCCACTGATTATGATCCGAGGCAGATGTTTTTTACTCTGAAAATTTCTGGGCTGTAAGGCAACAATTCCTAACAGTACTCCTTTTCAGAAATCTGGTTGAGGTTCACACAGTGTCTCACACTACCAACATTACTCACCTGGAGAAAACATTTACCGTAATGGTTAGTGACCTTTCAGCCCACACGCGACATAGAATTAGGTTGAATCTGCCCTTTGATGTAGCACCGACATCAATGGTAGCTGAAATGGAAATGATTGAGAATACCTATCAGAACAGTTGCCTAAAAGGGATTTGATGGGCTGAAAATTAAAATTAAAAATAAAAATGTAACTTTTTGGGTGAAAGAAATATGATTTGGTTTAGCGAAAATAGTAATGTACTCGCAGAGGGGATTGAAACAAATGAAGCTATCAGCTTGCCTTAGGTAATAGCACACTCACCTCGAGGTCAGAAAGTTGTGGGTTCGAGACATTCATTGGGACTTAAGATCATAGTCCAGGCTGATTGTCTAGTTAGACACTCCAGTTCAATTGTTGGGGGGAGCCAATGCCTAAAGCACTGGTGGCCAATCTGTGGTTTACGGGATCATCAAGAAGTGGCTCCCCCAAACAATTGTACAAATCTATATAATTATTGGCAGAACCTATTCTCTTGGGATTCTGCACGCATCCACCTTCTACTTTCGTTGCTGGAAAGTAATTTGGAACAGGAACCCTGGCTGGATTTTCCAGAGACTATCTGGGGCCAGAGACTATCTGCTGCCCCCAACAGCTAACGCACGAGTGTATTGCAAATCAGTGTGCAATCTTTAATATTAACATATATTCTTTAAAAATAACTATTCCTCTACACTAAATACAATTGCTGTAGACATTGACATAATCGGCAATATCGCTCCAAGTCCACAAATATAAAGGAGATAAGAAAATACATGAGGGTGGAAATTCCACACAATGTAACTTGTAGTGGTTTTGGTCGCTTAAAGCAATGAATATTAAATGGATGCATCTACAACGTACACAGTCACTACATTTCACAGTAAATCCTGTGAAGAACTTGGAGACGTGAAAGACACAATATCAATTGTAAGGGTTAGAATTATCATTATCAATATGCGCTGATGCTAAATTATCTACCTCATTAATTCTACTTAAAGTGAGAACTTAGGTGAGAATTTAAAATTGAAACAAAAGCATCTTCCAAAAAAATTCTACAGAAATAGACACAAAGGGATTGTGCAAAATGCTCTTTTCGATTAATTTGTAAAGCTACTCAGTAATGAATCATCTTATGAAGGTAGGTTTTGCTAAACTATTTCCAAAAAAAACTTTGAAGAACTGAAACTAATATGCTTAAATGTTAAATGTTACCTGCTTATGTAGTTAATAAGGAGTCTTGTATATAACAACAACAAGATTACATTTGTATAGCACCTTTCACGTCGGGAGGACGTCCCAAGGACATTCACTTGTATAATGAAGGTTTGAAGGTAAGCATATTCACCTCCAAACACAAACCAAACCACATTCTCAAAAGAGGCTTCTCTTATAAGACAGGGCTGCTCCCTGCACCTATTGCAGTTATTGTATTAAATTTTGTCTAACTGACAAACTCTAGATGGTAATCTTTGCAAAACATTCCATTTCACTGCTTTGCTGGTTGAGAAATTTTGATGGCAAATGAGATAGTCAAGTGGCATCTTGTTGTCTGATTGATTGCACACTCCATTTCTAAAAAAAAGTTATGTTGTGTCTAACCAGGCAAAGTCTCACTAGAATGACAACTATCCCAATGCCTTTGAGAAGAGTTTTGGGAATACTATCACTCGTTTATAGGAAGACCAGACAGCTATAGACTTCCTGCCAGCCAACATTTACAAAAGGAAAGAATTTTAATATCATGCAAAATAGTGCAGAGAAAAATAAACCTTAGAAAATAAATTCTTGTAGATTTTCCTCAGTATATTCCATAATTCAACAACAAATTTTGCAATTCACTCATTTCTATTCCTTTTATGGTATTTCCACAGTATTAATCTTTCTAAATTTAGGAGTTGTGAGTGTCCGAGGAATGAGTTTAACACCCCCTCTGAAACAATGAGTAAACCCAAATCTAACAAAATACAATATGTATTTACTCATTTAGCATAATAACATATCAGTAGCGAATCACTTCTATATTTATATCAGAGAGTTCATTGGGCGATATAATCAAACCGACATCTTTCATTAGAACCTGAGACATTTGCTAAAAATAAATTATGTAGTGTTCATAACACTGAACCATCTCAAAGCGCTACTTGGGTAAATCCTGTCAAGTGTACGGACTGTATATTTGCAGGCAAAAGCAGCAGCCATTTTGCGCACAGTGAGGACCTCCAAACAAGCCATAAAATTAATGATCCATTTATCCAAAGATTTGTTGGCCAGTCTCTTTTTGGATAGCATCACAAGATCTTTAACGTCTTTATTGTGCACCTGATTAGGCAGAAGTGACCACAATCTTCTCACATCTCTACTGGGCATAACTTTAGGCCACTGGTTGCCAACCTTTATCGTCGGCCAACAAAATATATTTTCTTGATTGAATATTTCTTGATTTATGCCATAACTCAGGAAATATTCAATCAAAAAAAAATGAAAACACACTACCGAAAACATGCTCCGTGTTCATGTAATCTGCCTGCACTTATCGTCTGGCCATCCACATCAAGAATGGACACATAGACGAGTGACTGGAGGAATGCCGGCATCCATAAATCCAGCCTGTTGTCTCATTCACTCGAAGGCCTGTGTTTCACTCCCTGTGTTTGTGAATGAAAGTGGACGGACCCACAAATTATTGATTTATTTTAAAGTGGACGTGTTTACGGACTGCAGGAGGACAGCAACCACTTTAGAACCCTCTGCTTTCATATAATCTGCCCCCACTTGTTGCCTGGCCTTCCAGGTGAAGAATGGCCACTTGGGCAAGCGATTGGAGACCTCAAAGGCAGAGTTCGGGAATTACACTGCCCGAGGAGTAACTGGTAGGATAGGAGGATCTGCGCACTCCACTCCGGTGGAGGGACCAAAGTGTTCCCACCATTGGGTTCTGCTCCCCTCTACAGGGTGCAATTACAAGGTGCATTGTGTGCCCTCCTCTCTGCTGCTTATCCCTTTATGGTCTTACCTTTGTCATGCTTACGTTCACCTCCCCCTTCCCCCTGGCTTGGCGCAGTACTCCGCCACTGTCAAGCGCTCTGGGACATTACCCCATGTGGGAGGTGCGCTATATAAATGCAAGTTGTTGTTGTTGGGACACAGACAGGGTTAACAAAACGCACAAAGTAGACACATTTGCGGGACGCTCTTTTGTAGCAGCATGAGCCTCCTTGTGTGCACTACACACGTGTTAGGGAGCTCTTGTAAACCACAGCTGGCGTAGTTCACAAGTGCCACACATGCCTGACACTCACCACAGGAACAGCAGCCCCATTGGCATCAGGTTTGACTGCTTGTCCTCCGCTTCTTTCCTCCATGATAAATACAAACACATCCTTCCACTCTATTCCTGTTCTATGATTGTGGTTCCCTCCACTCCTCAATTTGCCAGTGAGGAAACAGCTGGATTGCTCTTGCTAATGTTCTCAGCCTTGTTATCTTCACATCTAATTTCTTCTAACCTTTGCTGCCTCACCAGTCTGCTATTTTTCCATCAAACATTTACTGGCACACAAATGAGACCTTTGCCAACCCTTGCAACACTAACGTAACCTC